GAAGGAAAGAAGGAAAGAAGGAAAGAAGGAAGGAAGGAAGGAAGGAAAGAAAGAAAGAAAGAAGGAAAGAAAGAAAGAAAGAAAGAAAGAAAGAAAGAAAGAAAGAAAGAAAAAGAAAGAAAAAGAGAATTAACAGCTAGTCTCACCCCAAATGTAAACTCAGAAATGCTCCTTCCAAATGAATCAAACAATTCTAAAATGAGGTGGAAAACAGAAGCCTGTTTTCAGAGACAGCAAACTCTTTGAGAACTGGAGGACAGTTGCATAATATGTTTTGAGCATCAAAATGCTCAGTCTCCTGTCACTCGGCTTCATTTATTTAACCCCTCCCAAGACTGCAGCAGGAGGTTTTAACAACTTTCCAACGGAATCCGCTAAGCATCTGGCCAAAATATCTGAGCAGGAGCAGGAAGGAAGGAAGCATGCCTGGGCTTGTTCGTCTAGGGGCTTTCTCGTCTGGAGAGCTTAGTTTCCAGAGAATGGGAACCATGCCTGGATTTGAGTCTGTCAATTGCCTGAAAAAATGTCTTGGAAGCTTTATCCAGTACTAGAGCTGGGAGGAGGAAGAGGAGGAGCAGCAGCAGGAGGAGATAGATGAGAAGAAGGAGGAGGAGGAGGAGGAGGAGGAGAAGATAGATGAGATAGATGAGGAGAAGGAGAAGGAGGAGGAGGGGAGAGATGGAGAAGGAGAAAAAGGAGGAGGAGGGGAGGAGGAGGAGATAGATGAGAAGGAGAAGGAGAAGGAGGAGAAGGAGAAGGAGGGAAGAGATGAGAAGGAGAAGGAGGAGGAGATAGATGAGATGGAGAAGGAAAGAAGGAGGAGGAGAAGGAAAAGGACAAGGAGGAGATAGATGAGGAGATAGATGAGAAGGAGAAGGAGGAGAGGGAGAAGGAGGAGAAGGAGATGGATGAGATGGAGAAGGAGAAAAAGGAGGAGGGGGGAGAGGAAGAAGAGGAGGAGGAAGAGATAGATGAGAAGAAGGAGAAGGAGGAGGAGGAGGAGATGATGGAGGAAAAGAGGATGATGCTGGTGGCTTAGGATCAATTCAAGTTTTATCAAAAGGCCTCCTCCTCTTCTTCCTCTCCTCCTCCACTCCTCTTCCTTTTTCTCCTTCCCCTTCTCCTACTCCTCTGAGCCCCCCAGAATAAAAAGAAAGAAAGAAAAAAGAAGACCACCGAATTGTCCCAAGGCCCCTACTCTGGGTCCCACCGTCAGGACCAAGCAAACGGAGCCAAGGCCCTCAGTGGCAGAGACAGGAGCATCGGCCTCTCCCCACCACTGCTGCTCTGCAACAGCTGGAGTCTGTAAAGATGCAGGGGAAAATAAACAGCTGCCAAATTTAGCAACCACTCTTGTTTTTTCTTTTCATGTTTTTTTTAAAAAAAACAGTCTAAATTGGGGACCCTCCACACGTCTGACGGTGGGGGGGAGAAGTTGGCTGCCGTGTGCCAAAAGGGGCTCCTTCTGCTGGATCCAATCCTCGAACATAGTTTTGGGGGACGACCACCCACGTCTCTTGGTCCCCCCTCACCTGCCTCCCTGCTAAGCCGAAACCTCTAAACATTCATTTTTTTTTCTCAATAAGAAAGCTGTCCTTTGACACCTAAATATTTTGCTTCTCCTTTACGGGAGCGTCTTGAGGAATCTGGCTGTTTTGGTGGAGTGAGAGAAAAACATGTCCTTAAAAGGAACCAAACTCTCCCATTCTTCCTCTAAAAAACGATTGATGATGCCACCTTCGGAGATGGAAGGAGGAGGGTGGCCAAATGTTACAAGACTGTCTTGGATGTAGACAAGGAACTGAAGCAGGAAACTTGTGATTGTGGAGCGCATTGAAGGTGACCCAGAGACCTTGAGGGGGAGGGGCTATCAGCTGTGGTGCACCAGAAAAAACCAAGCAACAACCAACCAATCAACCAACCATCAACTAAACAACCAACAACCAACCAACCAACAACGAACCCACCAACAACTAACCCACCAACAACCAACAACCAACCATTAACCAACAACCAACAACTAACCAACCAACAACTAATCCACCAACAACTAACCAACCAACAACAACCAACAACCAACCAACAACTAATCAACCAACATTATTTGCCATTAGTCAGTTGCAAAAGGCGGCCTTACTAGGAACCGCTTCCATCCTGCGACGAGATCTGTAATACTATCAGACATCCACATCTACCTAGCCCAGGTCCTGGGTAAGGACTCGATAGGTAGACAAAAATGCCAAATCCAGTCTGAACATCTGGTTGACTGTGCGATGATCCATAATAATAATAATAATTTTTGCAATTGACTAATGGCGAATTTGTGTTCAAGTGTGTTCAGGTGGTGCTCCAGTTGTTTTGGGATTGCACCCAAGGCGCCTATTGCTATTAGTACTACCCTTGCTTGCTTTTGCCAGTATTATTATTATTATTAATATTATTATGTATTATTATTATTATATACATATACATAGTGATTTAAAAGTGTGGGTGTATTATACATATATACATATATACTTACATACATACACAAACACACACACATACACACAAGAACGAGGATTTCTTCCGAGCGCGCATGTGCTGGAAAACAAGCCAGTTTTTCCTTTCTTCTTGACATATTCCTTTTTTTCCTCAAAGATGTGGCTTTTTAGGTGCCTAGAGAGGGATGCGTTCTCCACCTGCTGCTATAGATTACAAATCTCCCGTTTTGTTCCACGCCGTTATTAATGCCTGCGCATTAAAACCCGGAACATATGTTTTTTTCTGTGCCTCTTCCTCCTTCTAAGGTCCTCACTCTTCCCCCTGAGCAGCAAAAGTGTGACAGAGAACATTTCGAAGCCGAACATTAGTTCCAGATGCCTCCTAAGACACAGTCAATTTGAACATCACCCCATAAAAAAACGCACATCTCCGACTTTCAAAGGCAGAGACCCTTTCGGTTGTCGTGATCTGGCTTCATGGAGGCCTCACTTGCAACTTCTTCAGCAGTTGGGGGGAAGATTTGCCTGACACACCTCTCTCTCTCAGCTACACCCTGTTAGTAGTGGACACCTGGCAAAGTAGCAGATCCGATGCATTTGTTGCAAGGCATCTCTGGCCCTTTGCTTTGGTTCAGGAATTCAGAAGGCCGAAGAACCGAATAGAAGAGAATAACGAAGTTGGAAGGGACCTTGGAGGTCTTCTAGTCCAACCTCCTGCTCAGGAAGGAAACCCTACACCGTTTCAGACAAATGGCTGTCCAGTCTCTTCTTAAAAACTTCCAGTGTTGGAGCATTCACAGCTTCTGGAGGCAGGTTGTTCCACTGGTTAATTGTTCTCACTGTCAGGAAGTTTCTCCTTAGTTCCAGGTTGCTTCTCTCCTTGATGAGTTTCCATCCGTTGCTTCTTGTCCTGCCTTCAGGGGCTTTGGAGAAAAGCTTGACCCCCCCTCATCTTTGTGGCAGCCCCTCAAATATTGGGAGACTGCTATCATGTCATCCCTGGTCCTTCTTTTCATTAGACTACACATACCCAGTTCTAAAACTGTTTTTTTTAATATATATTTTAGCCTAACCGTCACTGTTGCTCTTCTCTGAAGTCTTTTCAAAGTTTCTTTTTTTTTTTAATAAGGGGGCGAGCAAAACTGGAGGCAATATTCCAGGTGTGGCTTTCGTTGCAAACAGTATGCAATCCATGCCTTTGACCAGTGGTGGCATTCAGCCGGTTCGCACCAGTTTGTCAGAACCGGTAGCTAATTTTTCGTCGCCCGGGCCCAGAACGGACTTCCGGAAGCGGCATCCACGCAGAGAACCGGTTGCTCACCTATTTGAGTCCCACCACTGCTATGATACAGGGTTGAGTTTGAGTATATAATGTTCTGTCACTGGAGGGTCTCTCCTCCAGGCGCCCATCTCACAGACACCAGTCAGAGGGGACGGGGGAGGCAACTTGCAAATTGGCCTCTACGTTGTCACCTGCCTCGCCAAACGTGGAGGCTTTGGTGAAAACAGCAAAGAGCAAAGCTTTTTCACGGATGAGTTTGTACAGCATTAATACATGACAGGTCTCCTGGCTTTTATTCTCCTTTGGCAGAAATCCTGCATGAAAATATAAACTTTCTAGGATGGCGGAGAACCTGTGTCTGACTTTCCCAAAAAACCAAAACAAAACAAAACAAAATGTTGGGACAAGAATGTCACATGCAAAAATGCTGCCCTCTAGATGCATGGAAGGGAAGAAAGCCAGCTGCCCACAAATGCTGTAAACAGACTCCATTTCTCTCTCTCTCTCTCTCTCTCTCTCTCTAGCATTAAATATTTCAATTTATCTACTAACCCTAACCCTGTGTTCATTTTTCTCCCCATGCATGCAGATACATAACCTGAACTAGACTGTGTTGTTCCTCTGTGTCATATAATAGATGTGGGCATATGCATAATTCTGTATTTATTTATTTGTTTTTTTGCTTTTGTCATATTTATGTTGTGTATATTGGAGGTGGCGACCCTTGGAGAGCTGCACGCAACAAAATTTCATTTTAATGTATGCCGATTAATGTACATCCAAAGTGACAATAAAGTTATTATTCTATTCTATTCTATTCTATTCTATTCTATTCTATTCTATTCCTATTCTATTCTATATTCTATATTATATTCTATTCAATTCAATTCTATATTCTACATTATTCTATATTCTATATTATTCTATATTCTATTTTATATTCTATTCTGTTCTATTCTATTCTATATTCTATTCTATTCTATATTCTATTCTATTCTATTCTATATTCTATATTATTCTATATTCTATTTTATATTCTATTCTATTCTATTCCATATTCTAATCTATATTCTATTCTATTCTACTATTCTATACTCTATATTCCATAGTCTATTCTATTCTATTCTATTCTATTCTATTCTATATTCTATATTCTATATTCTATATTCTATATTCTATATTCTATTCTGTTGTCAGAGGTATTTATTCCACAAATAAGGCCAGCATCTACTCACCTGTATACAGGTCGGTGTCGGTGTATTCATCCACCTTTTTGTGATGCAAAATATAATCAGAGACTTTGGTTCCAATGGCTGGCTGGACATCTAACCACTGCAAGGAGACAACTGTGCTGGAAGGCTCCACGGTGGGAGAAAGACGCAAACTAGGCAGAAGAATGAAGGAAATTCAGAATTCAACTCTGACCCACAACTGTTCTTCTCTACTGATATTACAAGTTGATGCAAAAAAAAAAAAAAATGGAGCAGGGGATATTTTGGCTGGATAGAAAAAAAAAAAAAATGCAGGCAACGTCCCTGTTGGAAAAGAGATACTCACACAGGCTGGGGAAGTGGGCTGCAGCTGGGGAGGCCGTTCTCATCAAAGGCATTCAGGTCACACCGACACCAATCCTCAATCACGTCTCCTTTCCCGGAGCACCAGTACGAGCTCATGAGGGCTGCCTTGAAGGCCTGGGAAGGAAGAACAGATCAACGATGGTGTGTGAATGGATGGCTGAGGCAGGCAGTGACAAAAACACGGCGAGTTCTTCTAACTAGCTGGTACAAGAAGAAAGATGGGTGGAAACTAATCAAGGAGAGAAGCAACCTAGAACTAAGGAGAAACTTCCTGACAGTTAGAACAATTAATCAGTGGAACAGCTTGCCTCCAGAAGCAGTAAATGCTCCAACACTGGAAGTTTTTAAGAAGAGACTGGACAGCCATTTGTCCGAAATGGTGTAGGGTTTCCTGCACGAGCAGGGGGTTGGACTAGATGACCTCCAAGGTCCCTTCCAACTTTATTATTATTATTATTATTATTATTATTATTATTATTATTATTATTATTATTATGTTGGGGGGATCTTGAATTGTTCTTTGGGTCGATCTCAGCTGTGTGGTCTAGAATAGCCACATCCCTGATGTTTCTATGCTTCTGGAGATCTTTAAGAAGAGGAGACTGGACAATCACCTGTCTGAGATGGTGTAGGTTCTCCTGCTTGAGCAGGGGGCAGGACTAGAAGACCTCCAAGGTCCCTTCCAGCTCTTGTTGTTGTTAGTTGCGAAGTCATGTTAGACCCATCGCGCCCCATGGACAATTTCCTATTCTATTCTATTCTATTCTATTCTATTCTATTCTATTCTATTCTATTCTATTCTATTCTATTCTATTCTATTCTATTCTATTCTCTATATTCTATTCTATTCTATTCTATTCTATTCCATTCCATTCTATTCTATTCACACACTCACATTTACACACCTTCCAAAGAAGGTGAAAACTAACAGAACAAAATAACAGAGTTGGAAGGGACCTTGGAGGTCTTCTAGTCCAACCCCTGCTCAAGCAGGAGACCCTACATTTCAGACAAATGTCTGTCCAGTGTCTTCTTAAAAGCCTCCAACGATGAAGCACCTACAACATCTGGTGGCAAGCTGTTCCACTGGTTAATTGTCTTCACTGTTAGGAAGTTTCTCCTTAATTCCAGGTGGCTTCTCTCCTGGATTTAGTTTCCATCCATTGTTTCTTGTCTTGCCTTCTGTTTTTTGGGAAAATAAGTTGACTCCCCTGTTCTTTGTGGCAGCCCCTCAACTACCGGAAGACTGCTATCATGTCCCCCTTAGTCCTTCTTTTCTCTAGACTAGCCAAACCCAAATCCTGCAGCCGTTCTTCCTGTGTTTTAGTCTCCGGGCCTTTATTCATCTTAGTTGCTCTTCTCGTGTCCAATTCCTTTGGGAATCTAACTCGACGAGGTCATGCAGGCTAATCTGATCACGCTTAATGTTATTTGTTTCTTACTGTAAGTTGGGCTCAGTTTAATCAGATCCTGCGGATACGCAGCGACAATTACGTCTTGCCACAACCTTTTAGAAATGAAGTTATTCCTGCAACACATCCATCAAGCTCCATCCTTTCTTGTCAGAGTGAATTCATGCCACAGGCCTTAATAAGGTTATACAGGCCCACACAGATGTCCATCCCTCTCTCCTGCTGCAGTTCCATTTGCCAATAGCTATCAAGCAACAGTTGACGTCAAACATATACAGAAGAGAAGAACGGTTGCAGGAATCCACTCCAGGAGAAGAAAAAAACAGACCTAGGGGTGACATGATAGCACTGTTCCAATATTTGAGGGGCTGCCCCAAAGAAGAGGCAATCAACCTCTTCTCCAAAGTGCCTGAAGGCAGGACAAGAAGCAATGGATGGAAACTAATCCAGGACAGAAGCAACCTAGAACTAAGGAGACATTTTCTGTAATTGGGTAGTCAGTGTGAGTACCATTGCTCCTAACTTCTGGTTATTCCATTCTGCACTTTTGTGCCCCTAGTTTCTTTTTAAGTCTACGGCAAACAGAATTATCTCACTCAAATGTGTTCAACCCTTGACATTTTAAAGCTTGTGACTTCACCTTATAACTTCACCTTACAGAGAAAAGCCACAAAGATCTTTGGGAGACCGTAGGCTAAAACATATAAAGAACGGTTGCTGGAATTGGGGATGCCTAGTTTAATGAAGAGAAGGACTAGGGGGTGACACGATAGCAATTGTTCAATATCTCAGGGGTTGCCCCAAAGAAGAGAGCGGGGGTGTCAACCTGTTCTCCAAAGCCCCTGAAGGCAGGACAAGAAGCAACAGATGGAAACTAATCAAGAAGAGAAGCAGCCTGGAATTAAGGAGAAATTTCCCTGACAGTGTGAACAATTTAATCAGTGGAAGAGCTTCCCTCCAGAAGTTGTGGGTGCTCCATCACTGGAGACTGAACAACCGTTTGTCTGAAATGGGATGGGGTCTCTTGCTTGAGCAGATGGGCTGGAGTAGAAGACCTCCAAGGTCCCTTCCCACTCTGTTGCACTCTTCTGTTATTTTGGGAAGGAGTGGAGTGGGGGTGGGGATGGTGTGTTAGCTGAACCGAAGGGAAAGGTTGAAAGAGCTGGGGGGGGGGGAGATGATGTTTGCTTTTCCTCAGACGTTTGAACAACTGGATGTGACTGGGAGTCTGAGGCCCGGCAGAGAAGAACCCCAAGGGAGACGACATCTGAGACAGTCTTTAGTGTGAAGGCTTCAAAAGTTCAAAGCAGGCGAGGAGAGAAAGCCCCTCTGTCTCCATCAGGTGCTTGTTATTCTTACCAGACTTTTCCCATAGCTGTTGTTTTCGCTAGGACTCTCCAAGCAACAGGAGGAGAGGGGTTACCAACCAAAGTGGTGCCGTTCAGTTCTCCACGATCCTAAGGTGGGCCTCCTTATGTTAGAGAAGAGTTCGTGCAAACTGTGGTTCAGTCTGGAGGCACGAAAACCTGGTTTGCCCGTTCTGCTAAGTGGGCGTGGAGTCCTAACCTTATAACCTCACCGGCCTTGGCAAGCTACTTGAGCAAAAGGAAATGATAACTCACCCAGGAGGGTGAGTCAGTCATACATCATGTCAAGACTTGTAGATACATTACTCAGAACCGTGCTTTCCCCTTATACCTATTTTGATAAAAGTTGAGTTTGCTTTGGGTGTTCTTTCCAAGCAGACTAGAATTCCAGGACAATCCCAAGGAATGGGAGTGGAACAACTTTGTTCAATGATTAAAAAAAAAAAACGGATCAAGAAATGTCCTACTTTTTCAAGCGCTGTTCTCTTCGGCAGCGATTTAAAACTAAAATTCTTTTTTTTTTTACTTTGACTAACCCCTATTTATTTCTTTGTTTTCTTTTTTTCCTTGGATGTTTTATGGTTCTGTTTTACCTTTTGCTTTGTTTAAACTTCCTTTTTATTATTTCTTCTTCTTCTTTTTTTAGGTGGCAAATAAATTTAATAGTAATAATAATAATAATTTACAGTGCTTCCTTGGTTTTTCTTGCTCTGGAATTGAGCCAAATGTTCTGCCCTAAATCAGGAGGAAATTTGTCCTATGGAGGGTTTTTTTCTTTCCCATATCTGGATATAAGGGAAGACAAAGGATTTGCAAAAAAAAAATCATGACAAACATGTCTATTAACAAATAACTCCAGAATAGAATAGAATAGAATAAAATTACAGAATAGAATAGAATAGAATTACAGAATAAAATAGAATAGAATAGAATTACAGAATAGAATAGAATAGAATAGAATTACAGAATAGAATAGAATTACAGAATAGAATAGAATTACAGAATAGAATAGAATAGAATAGAATTACAGAATAGAATAGAATTACAGAATAGAATAGAATTACAGAATAGAATAGAATAGAATAGAATTACAGGATAGGATAGGATAGGATAGGATAGGATAGGATAGGATAGGATAGGATAGGAAATGAATGGAATGGAATGGAGCTGTAAGGGACCTTGGAGGTCTTCTAGTCCAGCCCTCTGCTCAAGCAGGAAAACCTACGCCATCTCAGACAAGTGACTGATAGTCATTTCTTAAAAGCCTCCAGTGATGAAGCACCCACAACCTCTGGTGGCAAGCTGTTCCACTGGTTCATTGTCCTCACTGTCAAGAAGTTTCTCCTTACTTCCAGGTTGTTTCTCTCTTTGGTCAGTTTCCATCCATTGTTTCTTGTCCTTCCCTCTGGTGCTTTGGAGAATAATTTGACCCCCTCTTCTTTGTGGCAGCCCCTCAGATACTGGAACATACTGCTATCATGCCCACCTAGTCTTTCTCTTCTTTAGACTAGACAAACCCAAGCCGTTCTTCCTATGTTCTTCATTACTTGCAGCTAGTAAGTCAGTTTTCCAAAAACCCACCAAGAGAAGTTCACAAGAAGCTTGCAAGCACCCAAGGAATGGTCCTCTTTCCTACTGGGGGGGGGGGAAATCAAACTTTGAGAAATCACAAGTTTGGGGGACAGCACCACTGTTATTTGCAACAGTACAAGCAAGGACAAGAGGTTGCAATCAGAGAACGCTGATGACAAATCGGGAATATGGAGCCGGAGCAGTTGAATAGGAAGCGCAAAGTAAGCTTCCTATAAACATCCTTTTTCAGGAATCACAAATGTGTATTTTTTAAAAAACAACAACAACAACAACAACACAAAACAGTGGAGAAGGGGTTCTAGTGATTTCATAGGCGCGGGAGAAACGGCCTTTGAAGTACCCTGGAGTGCTAAAATTATTTTCTTCTCGGGAAATGAATACTTGTGACTTTTGTTATGTATTAAGCGGAGCTAAGAGCAAAATAATGATGAAGCTTCTCTAGTGTTGCTGGCAGGCAGGAGACTTTGCCCCTTTCTAACGCTCACACCCCTCCAGCTGTTGTGACTGTTGTGAGCTTCAGATCCTGAAGTGCAAACCACTGGATGTTTCCACGCTGTCAACAGAAGGGGTCACAAGGACAGAAGACACCCAAGGTGGGCAGTTTATGCTGGGTGAGTGTTATGGACACAAACTAGGGAGACACTGAGGCAGGACTGGAAAGCCCAGACAAACATTTTGAAGTCCTGTTGACATCCCTCTTCTTGGACAGGCTGTTTAGAGCTCTCCAAGTGAGGGAGAGGATTCCATAACCAGTCTCTTTCTTTCTTTCTTTCTTTCTTTCTTTCTTTCTTTCTTTCTTTCTTTCTTTCTTTCTTTCTTTCTTTCTTTCTTTCTTTCTCTTTCCTCCCTCCCTCTTTATTCCTTCTTTCTCTCTCTTTGCTTCCTTTCTCTCTTTCTTTCCTCCTTCCCTCCCTCCATCTCTTTCTTCCATTCTCCCTCCCTTCCTCTTATTCTTTCTTTCTTTTTCTTTGTTTTCTTTCTTTCTTTCATTCATTCTTTCTCCCTCCCCTTTCTTTCTCTTTCTGTCTTCTTTTCTCTTTCTTTCTCTTTTTCTCTCTCTCTCTCCCTCTCTCTCTCTTTCTCTCTCTCTCTCTCTTTTCTTTCTTTATTTCTTTCTTTCTCCCTCCCTTTCTTTCTGTCTGGTTTCTTTCCTCTCTCTTTCTCTTTTTTTCTCTCCCTCCACCTTCCTCTTTCTTTCTTTCTTTCTTTCTTTCTTTCTTTCTTTCTTTCTTTCTTTCTTTCTTCTCTTTCTTCTTTCTCCTTCTTCCTCCTCCTCCTCCTCTTTTCATATCGTGGCCCAGGATGCTTGTTATGAATTACCCCTGACTTCCTCTGTCCTCATAGGGTCTCTTCTCACCCAGCAGATGAAAGTTGGCTATTAAAGGGCAGATGTGCCAAGAACGACAGACGAAGCTCTCAAGAGAATGACTGCAGTCAAGGAGAACTTTCTTTTAAAGCAGGAGAAAAAACACAAAAAACGGGAGAAAGCGGGGGGGGGGGGAGGCCAAATTTCCCAAACAAAACACGTTCATAGCTTCCGTAGGAGGCCAAACATGTGGCCGAGATCTAGGCATTCATCACAAGGAGAGGGGAGATGAATTCAAATGGAAACTCTTGCTTATGAAAACACCGCAGGGAGGGCAGTTCCGATTCCCTTTTTGTACCCGTGGAAATAGGTACCTGTGAGTTGACTAAGCGGCAAAGGGCTAGTTGCGTCTTTGCGCTCACTTCACACCCACCAACACATGACTTATAAACTAAACATCCCCACTTGTTTGTTTGAAGAGGGCTAGGAACTGACTTTCTTACAGAAAGAAAATAAATAAACTAGTCGAGGATCACTCTGAAGAGGAAGAAAGTCACGTTAGCCTTCTAGACTAATGAGGACCTTGAAACACTCTGATGACCTCTAGATTTGTCTCTGTCTCCATCCGTCTATCCACGTCTCTCTTGTGCATCCCTCCTTCCCTCCATTCATCTCTCTCTCTCTCTCTTTCTCGATCTGTCTGTCTGTCCTATCTCAATCATCAATCCATCCACCCTCTCTTTCTCTCTCTCTCTTTCTCTCGTGCTTCCCTCCCTTCATCCTTCTATTCTATCATCTATCTTATCTACCTATCATCTACCATCTATCCACCTCTCTCGTGCTTCCCTCCCTTCCTGCATCCATCCATTCTTCCATCTACATCTATCTATCTAGTATCTCTTATCATCTCCCTCCCTCCCTCCCTCCTTCCCTCCATCTGTCTATCTCTCTCTCTGTCTGTCTTTCTATTTCTGTCTATCTCTAGCTCTCTCTCTGTGTCTATCTATCTCTGTCTAGTTCTCTGTCTTTCTGTCTGTCTATCTATCCTATCTATCTGTCTGTCTGTCTATCTCTCTATCTGTCTCTCTCTCTGTCTATCTCTGTACCTATCTCTATCTATGTATCTACATATCTATCTACCTATCTATCTACCTGTCTGTCTATCTATCTATCTATCTATCTATCTATCTATCTATCTATCCATCCATCTGCCTGTCTCTCTATCTCTCTGTCTATCTCTCTGCTTGCCTGCCTTATCTATCTATCTATCTATCTATCTATCTATCTATCTATCTATCTATCTATCTATTTATCTATCTCTATCTATCTATCTATCTATCTATCTATCTATCTATCTATTGTATCTATCTATTGTATCTATCTATCTATCTATCTATCTATCTATCTATCTATCTATCTATCTATCTACCTACTTACCCACCCATCCATCCATCCTTCCATCCATCCATCCATCCTATCCGTGGTCCATAACAGTTGTCTGTTCGCTCCCTGCTCACCTCCCTGGTCTCGTTGTCCTGGATGAGCATGTATAATGGGACGATATGGCTGATCTCCAACAGCACGGGGCTTGGGCTGAGCTGCTCCTTGCCCGCCCGGCGGCAGAGATGGCAGGTCGACGGGCAGCGGCCCTTTTCTTCACAGTGGATCTGCACGCCGGAGATCAGTTGATCGTCGGAGAGCATCTGGGCGGTCAGCAGCCCAGAGAGGTAGGTGATGAACGGCATGGACTTCAGCTCTTTCTTGTTTCCAAGTTCGGTCGTTTCTGGTTGAGAAACAGAGCAGGGTTGGGATAAGAAAAGACAATGAGCCTTCGTGGTTCCGCGAAGGTTTTATGCATCAAATAAATGTGCAGCTTAATAAGATGGACTAAAAGACCTCCGAGGTCCCTTCGGTATATAAAAGGAAGTTCCTTTGGAATGATGAATTGCAAGTTCCTTCCAAGCTCCCAACTCCATTATCATCTTCCCTAAAGTCCAGTCAAGGATGACCTTTAACATCAACTTGGTTACGTAGGTTCTGGACAGCTGGGCCTATTCTGGAAGTCAAATTGAAGACCTCCCTTTTATTTCTAAGGCCTGTCTTTGCGGACCAGAGTGCCCTTGTAAGTAGTATTCGCCCCAGAGGAGTTGAAGTCAACCAACTTCCATTTCTTTCAAGACAATCTGCCGGGGCAGAAAGGGGAGGGAGGGGAGAGGCCAAGAGAAAGATACATGGTACCGGTTTCTAAGTCAAGGACCGGCCTGCCTTTGGCCGAAGCTTGGCTCACTTCGCGAACCCCAATCTCGGGTTTCGAACGGCAGTTTCACTGGTGTGTGAAAGTGTTTGCTTCACAACTTGCCAATGAGAGGAATTAACCAGTGGAACCACCCACCTCCAGAAGCGGTAGATGCTCCAACCCTGGAAGTTTTTAAGAAGAGACTGGACAGCCGTTTGTCTGGAATGGTATCCTGCCCGGACAGGGGGCTGGACTGGATGACCTCCAAGGTCCCTTCCAACTTTACTACTACTACTACTACTACTACTACTACTACTACTACTACTACTACTATTATTAACAACCTGCGGGGAGGGTTAGGATTTAGAGAGCCACGGATATTCTCCCCAGTGTCTGGGTAGGTTTTGAAGATGCTTCCTCTTAACAATATTTTCAGAATCCAAATCAACCGCACAGCCAACCAGAGATGGCACCGGCCCCAAACCAACCCACTAAAGCCCCTCTCCCCCCCCCCACCAGCAGTTCACCTCCCAATGACCTGACCTGGTGTAATCTCCCTATTCACAAGGCCCATCATCAGGCTCTCTCTGATGACACTCCCGACCCATTGACAATTCTCACCCATGTTGGGTGAGAGAAGGGAAGACAAAGGATTTGCAAAAAATAAATAAAAAAATCATGACAAACAAGACTACCGTACTAATAATTAGCTCATGGAATGGAATAGAATGGAACAGAACAGAATACGAAAATATGGAATAGAATACAGAATACAGAATAGAATAGAATAGAATAGAATAGAATATGGAACAGAATAGAATATAGAACCGAATAGAATATAGAATAGAATGTGGAATATATAGAATATAGAATATAGAATGGAATAGAATGGAATGGAATGGAATGGAATAGAATAGAATAGAATAGAATAGAATAGAATAGAATAGAATAGAATAGAATAGAATAGAACAGAACAGAACAGAACAGAATAGAATAGAATAGAATAGAATAGAATATAGAACAGAATAGAATAGAATGTGGAATATATAGAATATAGAATAGAATAGAATAGAATAGAATAGAATAGAATAAATATGGAATGGAATAATAATAATAATAATAATAATAATAATAATAATAATAATAATAATAATAATAATAATAATAATAGTAAAGTTGGAAGGGACCTTGGAGGTCATCTAGTCCAACCCCCTGCTCGGGCAGGAAACCCTACACCATTTCGGACAAATGGCTGTCCAGTCTCTTCTTAAAAACTTCCAGTGTTGGAGCATTTACTGCTTCTGGAGGCAAGCTGTTCCACTGATTAATTGTTCTCACTGTCAGGAAGTTTCTCCTTAGTTCTAGGTTGCTTCTCTCCTTGATTAGTTTCCACCCGTTGCTTCTTGTCCTGCCTTCAGGTGCTTTGGAAAATAGCTTAATTCCCTCTTCTTTATACAAAATAGAAAATAGAATAGAATAAATATGGAATGGAAAATAGAAAATAGAATAGAATAGAATATGGAATGGAATACAGAAAACAGAAAACAGAAAATAGAATAGAATATAGAATAGAATATGGAATGGAATAGAATAGTGTTTGCTGCTTGAGCAAGGGGGTTGGACTAGACAATTTCCAAGGTCTCTTCCAACTCTTGTCATTCTGTATGCTGAATCAGAACTTGAATGCCAGCTGTTGGGAGTCAACAGTATAAAAAAAAAAAAACAGACTCATTTACCTCGGCAGTTCGCTTGCCAAGCTTCTGTTTGGCCATAAACCAGGTTGAAGTCAACAGCAGATGACTCTGATATTTCTGTAACTTGTAGTTTTGCTTGGTGTTCTCATTCTTACCAACTAATAGCGTTTAGCAGTCGGGCTAAATGATTCTTCAGTAGGCCAATGTGGATAATAACACACCCTGTAAACGCGAGGGGACTTAAGCACAGATGCGGCACATCTGTGCTTAAGGGGGAAAAACAACTTCTTTACCCCTGAAACCTATGAACACAAATTCTGTCCCTCTTTTCAGCTGGGGAGAAAGGAAAACCATTTTGCCTGTCTGAAAGATGTTTTCGGTGGATGTATGCTGCCCTCCAGTGGATTCACTAAGCAATTGCGCCCGAAAGAGAACCGCGGGAAAAGAAAATAAGAGAGCCCGGCCAGAGCAATTTGCAAAGTTTAGACAGCTTTTCTTTTTTCTTTTCCCCCTTCATCCTTGCAGGATATCTCCCTTCACCCAGGCACGACCCCCAAGGATAAAATGATACCTTTGTCCATGAACCTCTGGAGAAATAGGAATCAGTAGGTATTGTGGCTATCCATGCCGTTGATATAGGTGTATTTACCTGCCTTGGTAAAACTACACGATAGATAGGTAGGTAGGTAGGTAGGTAGGTAGATAGATAGATAGATAGATAGATAGATAGATAGATAGATAGATAGATAGATAGATAGATAGATAGATAGATAGGGTTCCTGCCTGAGCAGGGGGTTGGACTAGATGACCTCCAAGGTCCCTTCCAACTTTACTACTATTACTAAGTTTGAAGAGCCCTGTCTTAAATCTAACAAACAAAATGGAGGCTGGCTGAAGAATTCTGGGAGTTGAAGTCCACAAGTCATAAAAGGGTTCCTGCCTGAGCAGGGGGTTAGACTAGATGACCTCCAAGGTCCCTTCCAACTTTACTACTATTACTAAGTTTGAAGAGCCCTGTCTTAAATCTAACAAACAAAATGGAGGCTGGCTGAAGAATTCTGGGAGTTGAAGTCCACAAGTCATAAAAGGGTTCCTGCCCTGAGCAGGGGGTTGGACTAGATGACCTCCAAGGTCCCTTCCAACTTTACTACTATTACTAAGTTTGAAGAGCCCTGTCTTAAATCTAACAAACAAAATGGAGGCTGGCTGAGGAATTCTGGGAGTTGAAGTCCACAAGTCATAAAAGGGTTCCTGCCTGAGCAGGGGGTTAGACTAGATGACCTCCAAGGTCCCTTCCAACTTTACTACTATTACTAAGTTTGAAGAGCCCTGTCTTAAATCTAACAAACAAAATGGAGGCTGGCTGAAGAATTCTGGGAGTTGAAGTCCACAAGTCATAAAAGGGTTCCTGCCTGAGCAGGGGGTTGGACTAGATGACCTCCAAGGTCCCTTCCAACTTTACTACTATTACTATTACTATGTTTGAAGAGCCCTGTCTTAAATCTAACAAACAAAATGGAGGCTGGCTGAGGAATTCTGGGAGTTGAAGTCCACAAGTCATAAAAGGGTTCTTCCCTTGCAGGGGGTTGGACTAGATGACCTCCAAGGTCCCTTCCAACTTTACTACTATTACTAAGTTTGAAGAGCCCTGTCTTAAATCTAACAAACAAAATGGAGGCTGGCTGAAGAATTCTGGGAGTTGAAGTCCACAAGTAATAAAAGGGTTCCTGCCTGAGCAGGGGGTTAGACTAGATGACCTCCAAGGTCCCTTCCAACTTTACTACTATTACTAAGTTTGAAGAGCCCTGTCTTAAATCTAACAAACAAAATGGAGGCTGGCTGAGGAATTCTGGGAGTTGAAGTCCACAAGTCATAAAAGGGTTCCTGCCTGAGCAGGGGGTTGGACTAGATGACCTCCAGGTCCCTTCCAACTTTACTACTATTACTAAGTTGACGAGCCCTTGTCTTAATTAACAAACAAAATGGGTCTAGCTGACGAATTCTGGGAGTTGAAGTCCACAAGTCATAACAAGGGTTCCTGCCTGAGAAGGGGGTTGGATAGCGTGACCTCAGGTCCCTTCCAACTTTACTACTATTAATAAGTTGAAGAGACCTGTCTTAATCTAACAAAAAAAATGGAGGCTGGCGAAGAATTTCTGGGAGTTGAAGTCCACAAAGTCATAAAAAGGGTTCCTGACTGAGCAGGGGGTTTAGACTAGATGACCTCCAAGGTCCCTTCCAACTTTACTTGACATTACTAAAGTTTGAAGAGCCTGTCTTAAATCTAAAAACCAAAGGAGGCTGGCTGGAAGGAATTCTGGGAGTTGAAGTCCACAAGTATAAAAGGTTCCTGCCTGAGCCGGGGGTTGGACTAGATGACCTCCAAGGTCCCTTCCAACTTTACTACTATTACTATTACTATGTTTGAAGAGCCCTGTCTTAAATCTAACAAACAAAATGGAGGCTGGCTGAGGAATTCTGGGAGTTGAAGTCCACAAGTCATAAAAGGGTTCTTCCCTTGCAGGGGGTTGGACTAGATGACCTCCAAGGTCCCTTCCAACTTTACTACTATTACTAAGTTTGAAGAGCCCTGTCTTAAATCTAACAAACAAAAATGGAGGCTGGCTGAAGAATTCTGGGAGTTGAAGTCCACAAGTCATAAAAGGGTTCCTGCTGGAGCAGGGGGTTAGACTAGATGACCTCCAGGTCCTTCCAACTTTACTACTATTACTAAGTTGAAGAGCCGTCTAAATCTAACAAACAAAATGGAGGCTGGCTGAGGAATTTGCTGGGAGTTTGAAGTCCACAAGTCATAAAAGGGTTCTTCCCTTGCAGGGGGTTGGACTAGATGACCTCCAAGGTCCCTTCCAACTTTACTACTATTACTAAGTTTGTAGAGCCCTGTCTTAAATCTAACAAACAAAATGGAGGCTGGCTGAAGAATTCTGGGAGTTGAAGTCCACAAGTCATAAAAGGGTTCCTGCCTGAGCAGGGGGTTAGACTAGATGACCTCCAAGGTCCCTTCCAACTTTACTACTATTACTAAGTTTGTAGAGCCCTGTCTTAAATCTAACAAACAAAATGGAGGCTGGCTGAGGAATTCTGGGAGTTGAAGTCCACAAGTCATAAAAGGGTTCCTGCCTGCAGGGGGTTGGACTAGATGACCTCCAAGGTCCCTTCCAACTTTACTACTATTACTAAGTTTGAAGAGCCCTGTCTTAAATCTAACAAACAAAATGGAGGCTGGCTGAAGAATTCTGGGAGTTGAAGTCCACAAGTCATAAAAGGGTTCCTGCCTGAGCAGGGGGTTAGACTAGATGACCTCCAAGGTCCCTTCCAACTTTACTACTATTACTAAGTTTGAAGAGCCCTGTCTTAAATCTAACAAACAAAATGGAGGCTGGCTGAGGAATTCTGGGAGTTGAAGTCCACAAGTCATAAAAGGGCCAAGTTTGAAGACCCCTGAGATAGATAGACAGACAGACAGACAGAGATAGAGATAAATAGATATAGAGATATAGAGATAAATAGACAGAGACAGATATAAAAATAGAGATAGATAGATAGATAAATACATAGATAGATAGATAACCTTTATTGTCATTTTTTTTTTACTGTAGGCACAATGGTATCCATTAAAAATGAAATTCTGTTGCCTGCTCTCAAAACTGTACCCATACACAACACATATATAAACATGCTATGTACAACACATTATATGCCAACACCCTTACATATAATATAAATACATATAAATATTAATCACTGTCCATCTTGAATACATACTTAGAATACATACTCTGTCCAGTTTTGGTCCCCACCACACAAAAAAGATATTGAGATTCTAGAAAGAGTGCAGAGAAAAGGAACAAAGACGATCAGGAGGCTGGAGGCTAAAACATACAAACAACCAACTTGCCTCCAGAAGTTGTGGGTGCTCCAACACTGGAGGCTTTTAAGAAGAGATTAGACAACTATTTGCCCAGAATGGTATAACATCTCCTACTTGAGCAAGGGTTGGACTAGAAGACCTCCAAGGTCCCTTCCAACTATGTTATTGTGTGATAACATAGGACATAATAGGGCATACTGATGTACTTAATTGAATGGCTATGACTTCTTCAGTGAAAGGATACTTGCTACTTATAGCTCGGTGTGTTATTTTATTTTCCAGTTTGAACTCATAGGGGAGAGGATGCAACCTTTACAAAGTATCCAGGCATTGTTTTATTTATTTCTGCATGGCTTCCTTTTCAAACTATATCTCCAAGCTGTTTACAATAACAGCCAAAGGAAAAAAAAAAAAACAAAAATCAGTTAAAATGAGGGATGAAGGCATGCATTAAAACATTGTATCATTAAGCGATTAAATAAACACCCGCGGAAAATAGCTGTAGCAATAAAATGTAGCCATAAAAAGGTAATTTGTTAAGTGGCATTGACATGAAAAGTAACACTAAGTAAAAGGCTTAGAGAAATAAAATACACACACAGGGTGCTGACTGGCTGGATTGTGTCCAGTTCCACCCTCCAATTTCTGTTTTGAGCTTTTTTTGAGCATGGAGAGAAAAGAATTACGGCTAAATTCTTTGTTTTCATTGATTATCAGCGTTAATTCTTAGCAGCTACACAGATGTTTAACTCTTCACTGCCCCCTCGTGGTCACGCCGGTGTTTTGCAGCTCAAGGTAGGGTCTATCAATCATATAAGGAACGGTTGCGGGAATTGGGTATGGCTAGTCTAATGAAAAGAAGGACGAGGGGGGACAGGATAGCAGAGTTCCAGTATTTTAAGGGCTGCCACAAAGAAGAGGGGGTCAAGCTATTCTCCAAAGCCCCTGAAGGCAGGAGAGGAAGCAACGGATGGAAACTCATCAAGGAGAGAAGCAACCTAGAACTAAGGAGAAATTTCCTGACAGTTAGAACTATTAACCAGCGGAACAGCTTGCCTCCAGAAGTTGTGGGTGCTTCATCGCAGAAAGTTTTTAAGACAGCCACTTGTCTGAAATGGTGTCGGACTTCCTGCTTGAGCAGGGAGTTGGACTAGAAGACCTCCAAGGTCCCTTTCAGCTTCTATTCTATTCTATTCTATTCTATTCTATTCTACTCTATTCTACTCTATTCTATTCTACATTTCTCCTGTTCTATTCTATCCTATTCTATTCTTCATTCTTCTGTTCTATTCTATTCTATTCTATTCTACATTTTCTATTCTGTTCTATTCTATTCTACATTTCTATTCTATTCTATGCTCTACTCTACTCTACTCTGCTCTACTCTATTCTACATTTCTTCTATTCTATTCTATTCTATTCTATTCTATTCTATTCTATTCTATTCTTCATTCTATTCTGTTCTATTCTATTCTACATTTCTATTCTTTTCTATACTCTGCTCTACTCTACTCTGCTCTATTCTATTCTATTCTATTCTATTCTATTCTACATTTCTTCTATTCTATTCTATTCTATTCTATTCTATTCTATTCTATTCTATTCTATTCCATAACCAAATTGGAGAGGGTTTTTTTTAAAAAAAGGCAAAAGAAAAGTAGGTAGGTAGACAGGTAGATATATAAACCTCCCGCTGATCTACCGAAAGAAGAAATTCGAAAACCGCGTCTCGGCTCCCCCCAAAAGCGCCTTCTGCTTTTCTGTTCCTTCGTTGCCACGAAATGAACTCAAGTCCGTGAGCGCAACGCCCTAAACGGATCTAAATCCACTGATGCCAATCAATCAAACAAAAAGCGAAAGCGAATCCGCCGCTTTCTCCCGCCCGGTCACCTGGCATCCACGAAGGACTGCGTCCCGGGGAGGTGAAAGTACCACAATTCCCATCATGCCTGGCGAGAGGCTACGTGACCTGGAGGGGAGGGAACAGAGGGGGTGGGAGCAAGGGGGGGGGTGCGGCAGCGTCCCCTTTTGCGCAGGCGTGGAAGGACGGAAGAGAGTGGCTGGGGAGGGGGGGGGACAAAAGATTGGTGCGGCTACGAGAGAGGAAAACAGGCAGGTAGGGAGGGGCTCTGCTTGGCCTGGGGAAAAAATGGGGCAGGGGGCTGGGGGGAAGCGGGAAGGAAGTGGGAGTCTCGTGCAAGCCCCTCCAGCCCCGGGCAACGTCCGCAGCCCCCGCGATCGCCTCCTGGGGGGGCTGTTTTCCCCACCCCCTCCCCAACGCGTTCTGATGCGCTCCAGAAATTCCTTTGCAAAGACGCACAATCGTTGGAAGGGTTTTTTTTTCTCTCTCTCTCTCTCTCTCTTTCCCCCCACCCCGTGCAAAACTTGGGAGCATGATCGAGGGGCTTCTTCGCCCCCTCCCCCGCGCCCCGAGGGATCTCTGATCTCGCAAAGCCCCTTCCCAGGCTGGCGAAGAGGGGGCGAGCCCCTCCATCGGCCTCGCCGCCCTCCTTGCCAGAACCGTCGGACGAACAGTGAATGCGCCCGATGGGAGCCAAACGCAGCTCTCTCTCTCTCTCTCTCTCTCTCTCTCTCTCTCTCTCTCTCTCTCTCTCTCTCTCTCTCTCTCTCTCTCACACACACACACACACACACACACACACACACACACACTCCCCCCCCCCAGCAAAAATTTTTCAAGGAGGTCGGAGGATACAACCGACTCCCAGCGGCCCCCACCCCTGCGATCTCTTGATAATGCAGAATCGACCCTCTCCCCTTGAAAGGGGCCTGGGTGGCTGAATTCCAGTATGCATGACATGGTTTGGGACCCGCCAAGAAATGTCATTGCTCCTTACTGAACACACACACACACACACACACACACACAGAGAGAGAGAGAGAGAGAGAGACAGACAGACAGACAGACAGACTCCTTCATCCTGCAAGGAGGAGAATCCCTTTTAATGAAGGCAGATCTTTTCTGGCGAGGGGTCCCAGAAACATCTGGGCTTTGAGTTTGTCCAGGGTTGAAGATCGGCAGGCCTCCTCAGAAGCTACTACCCTTCAGAGCTCAGAAATCCACTCAAGAGAGAATAATTAGCCCAGTGTTGAGAAAAAAAAAAAAACATGAAGTTTATCGTTTGGGGCAAAGCTCTTTCCGACAACGGAGAGTAATTGTAGCTCAAGGTTGACCTGTGGGGTTCCTTGGAGCTGTGTGGCCTCCTTGCAGACATCTCCTTGCCCAACTAGGAAACATCATCAGTGCTAGAAGAGAGTGGGTTGTGTGGAATGGAACAGGAGGAGGAGGATATTGTGGGGACCTTAGTGCTCTCTGAGTTTGGTTGGTTTCTTGCAGACGTTTCATGACCCAGCTAGGGAACATCATCAGTGCTAGCATTGGCACTGGCACTGATGATGTTACCTAGTTTGGGTAATGAAACGTCTGCAAGAAACCAACCTCAAAGCTCTTTCCAAAATAGGTTATCGCCCATCATCCTGCCTCCCAACTTCACACAGGAGAGTTGAAGCATTGCTACACACAGCTTTTTTCAACCCACACCACACACTTTCAATAACGGTCTTACGTCAATCAAATTTTAATTCCTTCCTGATATTCTTTCCGGCCTTTGAGGCTGTGATATTTGGCTGCAGTGTGCAGGCAGGCACGTAGGGGAGACAATGACTTTACACAACGGTTGGCTCAGGCCAAAGCCCTTGCAATTACATTTGGGGCATGCATCTTGGGTCAAGCAGGGTAGGCCTCCATGGTGCCTTAGAGGAAGGGAAACCAGGGGTGGGTGGATGAAAAGGAAAGCAAAGATGCCTTCAGGTGGACCCCCAAGCTTTTCTTTGAGAAAGGGAGTCAACGTTGAGTCTTCCAGAAAGTGGATTTGGGGAAGATAAGGAGAAATGGGCTGAAAACAGCTCATCGTGGAAAGGCACACAGAACACTGACGATGTTCCCTAGCTGGGTAACGAAACGTCTGCAAGAAAACTGCCAATCTCAGAGAGTGCCAAGCACTCCTCCTTTGAAACGTCAGCTACAAAATATTTTCTTTCATTTTCCTCTCCCCCCCCCCCCCAAAACAGATCTGGGGAATTGATGCAACCCATCTCATCTTGGCTCCACCACTATGGCTACTGCCCCTCAACTCAACTCGGATGCCCTCCGCGAAGTTTTGGAGTGCCCCATTTGCATGGAGTGCTTCACGGAAGACCACCTGCGGCCCAAGTTGCTTCACTGCGGGCACACAATCTGCAAACAGTGCTCGGAGAAGCTCCTGGCCAGCAGCATCAACGGGATCCGTTGCCCCTTTTGCAGCAAAATCACCCGGATCACCAGCCTGGCTCAGCTGACCGACAACCTGACCGTCTTGAAGATCATCGACACGGCAGGGCTGACCGAGACGGTGGGCGTTCTCATGTGCAAAGCCTGCACACGGCGGCTGCCCAAGCATTTTTGTCGGAGCTGTGGCCTGGTGCTGTGTGAGCCTTGCAAAGAGTTGGACCATCTCCAGAAGCATCACAACGTGGTGGCCATCAAAGAAGCGGCCGACGAGAAGAGGAGGGACTTTGGGGCCAGGCTGAGTCGCCTCCGAGAACTTATGGGGGACCTTCAGAAGAGAAAGGTGTCTCTGGAAGGGGTTTCGAAGGACCTGCAAGGCAGGTACAAAGCGGTGCTTCAAGAGTACGGCAAAGAAGAGCGCAAGGTCCAAGAAGAGTTGGCCAGGTCGCGGAAGTTCTTCACTAACTCCCTCTCTGAGGTGGAGAAGGTGAACAGCCAGACCATGGAGGAACAGGCTTACCTCCTCAACATTGCCGAGGTCCAGATTGTCTCGCGCTGTGATTACTTCCTGGCCAAAATAAAACAGGGAGACATCGCCCTTCTAGAGGAAGAGGAAGAGGAAGAAGAACCAGAACTGATGAACAGCCTTCCCAAGGAGCTGACGCTACAGGAGGTGGAGCTCCTCAAGGTTGGTCATATCGGACCCCTCCAGATAGGACAAGTGGTCAAAAAACCGCGGAGCATCAACGTCGAGGAGTCCTTGATGGAGACAACAGCAGAAGCATCAGGGTCTTTCAGAGAAGCGGAAGAGGTCCATCCATTGTCCCCTTGCTCTTCACCTGCAAAGCCAAGGATGTCTGAGGCGGCCTCCAGCATCCAACAGTGCCACTTTCTCAAGAAAATGGGCTCCAAGGGCAACACGCCCGGCACCTTCAACCTGCCAGTCAGCCTGCATGTCACACCGCAGGGAGAGGTCCTCGTGGCCGACCGGGGCAACTTCCGGATCCAAGTCTTTACTCGCAAGGGTTTTTTGAAGGAGATTCGGCGTAGCCCCAGTGGCATAGACAGTTTTGTGCTCAGCTTCCTCGGAGCCGATCTTCCCAACCTGACACCCTTGTCGGTCACCATGAACTGCCACGGGCTGATCGGGGTGACCGACAGCTACGACAACTCGATGAAAGTGTACACCATGGACGGACACTGCGTGGTGTGCCACCGAAGCCAGCTGAGCAAGCCGTGGGGCATCACTGCCCTGCCCTCCGGGCAGTTTGTGGTGACCGACGTGGAAGGAGGCAAGTTGTGGTGCTTCACGGTGGACCGGGGTGTCGGGGTAGTGAAGTACAGCTGCCTCTGCAGCGCGGTGCGCCCTAAATTTGTCACCTGTGACGCCGAAGGGACCATCTACTTCACCCAGGGGCTGGGCCTGAATCTGGAGAACCGCCAACACGAGCATCACCTGGAAGGCGGCTTTTCCATCGGCTCCGTCGGTCCAGACGGACAGCTGGGCCGACAAATCAGTCACTTTTTCTCCGAGAATGAAGACTTCCGCTGCATCGCCGGCATGTGCGTGGATTCCCGCGGGGATCTGATTGTGGCTGACAGCAGCCGGAAAGAAATCTTACATTTCCCCAAAGGTGGGGGCTACAATATCCTCATCCGGGAAGGTCTCACCTGCCCAGTTGGCATAGCCATCACCCCGAAAGGCCAATTGTTGGTCCTGGACTGTTGGGACCATTGCATTAAGATTTATAGTTACCACTTGCGAAGGTACTCCACACCTTAAGATGGAAAAATGACAACACACCCGCCTCTCTTTGTCCTTCACCCCCTTCTCCTGTATCAATTCTTCCAAGGTCTGCTGACCGACAGCGGTGCCTACGATCTGTGCCATAAATGTTGAACGGGGATGATTTTTAGCGTGTGTGTGTGTTTTAGAACAAAGACTGCATGTTTCTGTTTGCAAGGTAGAGTGTTTTTTTTTTCTTTTTAAAACACACACACACACACTCCAGAATTAATGACGTCTTGCTAAGGGAAGCCGGTTGGCAAGGAAGACAAGTATTTGTCCAAACACAGCTTTTTAACTTAAGGCAATCGGTGCGGCGAAATCAACCGGCTGACGAAAAACAGATCCCTTTTTTGACTTAGAAATTGAGCCAGCTGCACACTCAGCTTAAGAAGACCCTGGACGGATTCAGAGGGTTAGTCTCCATCTTTTCCAGGCCAGACTCTCGCTAGCTAGTCATTTTTTTTGTGTGTGTGTGAACTGTTTCCCTCCCTCCCCAATTCTGCTACTAGAAATTGATCAACCTTGCTCCTCGTGTTCCCAGTCCTCGTTTCGGCTCTTCTCTATTCATGTGTGCACGTGCTAAATGACTGGGTTGTTTTTCTTTTTAATCCCACTAACCCTGGCTAGTTCTTTCTCCCCCTCCCCCCACTCTTGGCACCTTTGACAAAACGGACAATCCTATAAAGCCAACTCACAATCTGCACAATTTCGAATTAACCCTCCCTTTAAAAGACACGTCTAGCTGTTGTTTTTAAGGCCCAAAAAGCTCTGACGCCTTCCGGTTTTATGTCTGTTGTCTGGGGCCTCTGTCCGATGTGAAGTAGGGTCTTGTTTGGTTGGAAAACAAAAGAAAACTGGAAACAAAAGAATCTGTAACAACGAACGTTTGTTTAGGAGGTTTTTCTTTGCAATTTGTTACTTTCCGGCTGGGGAAGGGGAATACTGTTTGGGAAAATCAACACTTCTAGTTGAGAGTTTCCCAAGCGCGGGAGAAATGGGTGTAAACAGGATGGGATGTGACAAATGATACGTTTAATCCTGCAATTCCACGCCGCTGCACCGGCTGATGAATTTCCACTTCAGGCAAACTCTGTGTGTCTCTTGGATGGAGGAAGGGACTTCTTATTGTATTAAGTCAGATCTCTCTGCCAAGGAGACTCAGTTCCATGACCCAGCAACATGCCACAGGCCCTGCTCGCCTGCTTGGTTTTTATTTAAGGCAACACACTGGTTGGTGTGGGTGTTATTGGCTAAAAAGCACACCTCATAGGCTGGATGATGTGTGCAACCACATTTGGATGACCCAAAGGTGTTTTTTTCAGGAGGCCACTGGACTTTGTTTTTTCTTTGAAAATGTTTCGCTTCTCATCCAAGGAGCTCCTTCGGCTCTGACTGGATGGTGGAGGATGGAAGGATTTATACTCCTTGCAGACAGCTGATCATTTGCCTTCTTTTAGAGAGTCGTTGAGGCCACTTGGAGGTTGACCTGTGTTTTGCTTCTCATCCAGGAAGCTTCAGCTCTGACTGGATGATGGGAAAATGGAAGGATTTAGACGCCTTGCAGACAGGTGGACATTTGCCTTCTTTTAGAGAGTCGTTGAGGCCACTTGGAGATTTACCTGGGTCCTCAGGGTCCCCTGAGCGGTGCAAATGGGTGTGGAGCCTTCTTAGCTGCAGGATGTTTTCTGCCCTGGGTCCCTTCACCGTTGGCTCAGCCAATTTCACTGTATACATGTTATACTTTGATAATAAAGGGTTTGTTTGCTTATTTAAGATTATTTTATTTATTTATTTATTTATCTGAAGATGGGCGCAGGCTGTTTGGGATGAGTCTGTGTCACCTGCATCTCAAACTGAAGCGCACATGGTTCCTGTCGTCTCATGCTTCAATTTGAGATACAGACAACAGACTCATCCCCAACAGCCTGCACCTGTCTTCAACAGTGAAGGGCAGAAAACATACTGCAGCCAAGAAGGCTCTACACCCACTTGCCAAGTGGCCTCAATGACTCTCTAAAAGAAGGCAAATGACTAGCTGTCTGCAAGGAGTATAAATCTTTCCATTCCCCCACATCTGGGATGAGAAGCAAAAGGTCTTCAAAGAAAAACAAGAAAGTCCAGTTGCCTCCTGAAAAAAAAAGCACCTTTGGAACAACCTTCACCTGGATGACTGAGAATCTCCATAGACTCACAGCTGGATGACTTAGCACAGCTGGGGTCTGGGGCCCATCTGGGAGAGAGATGCCCTCCCATATGGCTGGAATGCTTCAGATGGGATGCGCTCCTGATTGTTATGTGCAAAGAGAAGAGAGTTGCCAGAAATGAATGGCTGATTCCTGGGCTGAACTTTACAGATGTTCAACTGGGAAGAAAAATGATGTTTTGGTGATGGGACGGTTGAGCTGACTAGCAGATGGCCCGTCTAGCATTTTCACTAAGTCACAAGTCGCAACCCTGGAATTAAGGAGAAAGTTCCTAACAGGACAGTTAACCAGTAGAACAGAAGTTGCCTTCAGAGGTTGTGGGTGCTCCAACACTGGAGCTTTGTAAGAAAAGACTGTCTGTCAGCCACCTGTCTGAA